TTATTTGATGGGGACATTTATTTATTTGTTGGGAGTATCTATTAATAAAGTAATAATTACAGTAGATTTTTATTTATTTAATTTTGAATTAAATGGTTCTCCATAGGAAACAGCCAATCAGGGATCTCCATCAACAAACAGCCAATCAGAGCCCCAGGCAGCCTTCAACAGTGCACACCTGCCTGCTGCAGCAAATTGTCAAGCAGGTGTTTAACATCATATCAGTATTATTACACAGTACCGTGGTCCTATGAAATTTGTTTTTCCCCAAATCTTGCTTTTCCGTTTTTTCTGAATTCCATATTTTCATTCTAACCGTATTTATTTACATAAAAAAGTGTAATAATTAACTGAAAGAAAAATAATTTAACAAATAGCTACACAATTTCAAATTTAAGAACTGTTATTTCACTTTTAAGGATCAGGGACAGGTAAACGAGGGGGCAAAGATTCCTCTGACCAATGAGGTGGCTGCATTTTCACACGGGCTGCAGTCAGAGCATCTGTGAAATCTTACCGGTTCTCCTCCGAGGCACCGGGCACAACACAGCTGTGGTTGTCTCGGCCGGACCGCGCCGACCTGAACACAGAAAAAACAACAACAAAAAAAACATGTTCTGCTGTCACCAAAACAAGAGACGAGTCACATCAGATAAACCTGAAAGCATCAAACATTTATCCATGAATATAAAGCCCAACGGGACCAGAATCAGACCCACGGGCCGGGTGGTAAAGGTCGCAGCGCTGTCTATGCTACTGAGGTGAGACTCAGAGCGGCCATCTTGCTAGGTGCTAAAGTTGGTGTCCTCAGGCTGGCAGCAGACGATCACTAACAGATAACTCATCTCTTTAACTACCGCAGTTCAGCAATTGTTTTAGTATTTACGCTTAAAAGTGGACATTTTATTTAAACTATAGTGTTGTAAATTAGAATTGCTGTAATAATTAACCTAAAAATATAGGTACTTTCAAAAGTGAGAACTTGCTTTTGATGAAATTAAAAACAATAAAAAATACTGATT